TTTGATCTCCAATTTAGTGATTTTTTAGTAAAAATGGCGTCCCATTTTCAGTTAATTTTCGCTTCAATTCTGAGTTCGTCTCGAGGGCAAGAGGATGACACGGCGGGTTCAAGACTGAATCAGCCTTCGTTAGGATCAAACGACATTTCGAGTGGAAAAGAATCTCTTCAACCTTTATCTGATTCATCTACGTCTCAACTCGCTCATGAATCAAACGTTGATCAACAAGATCCGTTTCAACGGTCGTCCAGTTACCTATTCAACAGAAATCGAGACCTTAAATTTGAAGAAAAACTTTCGGGTTATCAGAACCCAGAACCTAAAACTGGGCTGCCGCAACTGAATCGCATCGAATTCGAAAATGTTCAAGATGCAGCGAAAAATTCATTCGTTTCAAGAGCTGGAAAGGAGCCGGTGGGTCGAGATGTGTGATGGAACGTATAGGAGCCTCGTAAAATATTTCTAATAGCTTGATATTAGAAGCAGCTTTTAATATTTTAGTCGTAGATATCGTGCAAAGCTTCGTTGATACGTTTGCCGTTTTAATGACGCAACCAACAGGTTGCTTTATATGTTTCAATGTAAAAATTTTCCACCTGAATATAGTTACCCAGTCGCACAATTTCGGAACCTCCCTTCGAACTTTAATGTGAATCACCATCACGAGTCGATACAGACTGGTTCTTGAATTATCAATCCACTTCGTCTCTAGTAGAAAACCATCTCGAGCATTATTTTCTATTCCTAACATGTAACTAACATTCGCTTTTTCCTTACAACTGTCATTTTAAACATTCCAGCCTTCTCGCTTGATATCGCAACTCGGAGGACCGTCCGGAGACCTGCCGCTAGCTGGCGAACTCCAGCCGAAATTTCCCGCGTCAGCGTCCAGTAAGCAACCCGCTGCGCCCCCAAGAACCTCGTTCATCGACGCTGAGCGCGCACCGCGGCTTGATGGTAATGACGATATAGTTTTTCGAACTTGACTGTAATGGCGATACAGTTTTTCGAACTTGACTGTAATGGCGATACAGTTTTTCGAACTTGACTGTTTATTCTATTCTATTCTATTCTATGAGTCAAAATTCTGATAGCTTGGAGGGGAAAGAATAATTGTATGTTACTCATATGTATCATGATAATCTCATATGTTGATCTACCACGTTTTTTGCGGTGGATCTACAGCAAGTGTCATTCCACAGAATACGGGAAAAGGTAAAATAAAATGAAATAAAAATGTGAATAGAAAAAAATGAGAATATTAAAAAAAATTAGTAAGAACAGGTGAAACACATATCGGTTTTCAGTCATGAACTGTTGACAAAGTTTTATGATTTGACTGTTTACATCATTTTGCTGACCAGAAAGAAAAAATATTAGAGTTTAGATCCCGTCATCTTTGGCCAATCGGACTGGTAGAGTAATTTGGGATTCAAAGCATCAATAAGTGAAAGGTGAAACCGAGCTCTGAGCTCTAGGAAGTTGGCTTTATTGCCAACAATTTGGGCAGAATATCCTCGTAGTCCTATGTTATTCCTATGGCGGACGAATTTGTTACTTTACGATAGCTATTCCTTATGATCGTAAGGTGTATATTTCTGCAAAACGTTACGGTGTAACTATGTTACCTACAGCGTGAAGATGAAATCATCGTAGAAATTCATATCTTAAAATTAGAAGATATAATTTAGGTATCACGTCCTTGTTCAACAGTAACTCGGTATCGTAAATGTTTTATAATTAGTAATATGTAAAAAATTACTCTTTTTCTATCGAGTTTCTCAATTATTTTGCAACGCTTTACATTGAGTCAGATTTTAAAGGTTTGCGGTCTGTCCGGGAAGTTGTAAGTTTAAACCTCTTAGTGTAATCCAACGTCATCGTTTGGTCACGACGACGTAGGCTCAAAATGTAACCGATCGCGGGGGCCATACTTTCAAAATTCGCTAAGTGAACGTAAGTACTTACGCTCTATTCTCTTGTCTATGATTGGTGGATTTTGCTTGAAAGGCCGTCAAAAATTGGCTAATGAACTTACGATCTCTTAACTTTTTTTGAAAGTATAGGCCCGGGTTGATACAAATGNTCATCCGACCATGTCTGTCGTAAAATCCTTAGTTGCTTCCTGTGGGTTTTGTTTTTCTAACGAGTCTGACTGGAACAGAAACGAAAGTGCTTTGTTTTTCCTCCTCTGTCACTACAAGATGTATGATAGTTTATGTATGAAAGTTGTATGTATGAAAGGTATTCGTGAATTTGGTATGGACAACTGCTCAGTTTCCTTATTGTTGGCCATTTAAATTTGACGGTTGCTAAGTGGCCTCGTTGAATAAGTGTACAAAATGGAGTGAAAAAAATCCGCTAATTTGTAAAAGTAATGCACCATACAACGTCAAAAGAAAGTATCAATTTGATGATATATATACGAAATAAATCCAGCTTTTAAAAGTACTTTACGTAGAATTTACTTCTTGGAATAGCATCAATTTAATCTACTCTGAGAAATTTCGTCTACATTTTTTTATATTTTTGAGCTATGCTTAATAAATTTCAGAGAATTTAGTTCCATAACGTAAGTCCTCCAAAGAAATTTGGAAACCAGCTTGGCCAGCTTTAATTTATATTGGATTAAGATACTCCTGCCATCATATTCATGATAACCTGTCTCTTATACACATCTAGATGTGTATAAGAGACAGCTGTAATGGCGATACAGTTTTTCGAACTTGACTGTAATGGCGATACAGTTTTTCGAACTTGACTGTAATGGCGATACAGTTTTTCGAACTTGACTGTAATGGCGATACAGTTTTTCGAACTTGACTGTAATGGCGATACAGTTTTTCGCACTTGACTGTAATGGCGATAGTTTTACGAACTCAACTGTAATGGCGATACAGTTTTTCGAACTTACTGTAATGGCGATAGTTTTTCGGACTTGGCTGTGATGGCGTTACACTTTTTCGAACTTGACTGTAATGGCGATAGTTTTTCGAACTTGACTGTAATGGCGATACAGTTTTTGGAACTTGACTGTAATGGCGATACAGTTTTTCGAACTTGACTGTAATGGCGATAGTTTTTCGAACTTTACTGTAATGACGATATAGTTTTTCGAACTTGACTGAAATGGCGATACAGTTTTTCGAACTTGACTGAAATGGCGATACAGTTTTTCGAACTTGACTGTAATGGCGATCCAGTTTTTCGAACTTGACTGTAATGACGATACAGTTTTTTGAACTTGACTGTAATGGTGATACAGTTTTACGAACTCCTTAGTATCCTTAGTATCCTTGGTATTTGTTTGTGACACAGCAGTCCCAGGCCACGATGGATCGCCGCCTCTGATTATCGTTCATCCGCCCTCATTTGGGCCACCTGATGCACGATGCTGTTGCTTGCTTCCCTAATTTCTTTTCCGTTACCAAAATGACATTAGTTCCATTCTACTGTCTTTTAGTTCATCTATTCTGCTGTCCTTGTCTATTAGTTCCATTCTGCTGTGTTGTCCTATCCCATAAATTCTGCTGTCTCTTTTTTTTTTGTCGGCTCCCAAGACATTATATCTTTAATCTCGATGCAAAATACCGTTTTAAAACTAAACAGTAACTGATGATAATCGATCAAAATAACAGTTCAGACCAAAGCGAGGCATAAGTATGCCACTATCCCCGAGTCGTTACGTCTACCCCAAATGTTCACTATGGTTTAAAGATTGGTATCCAGCATTTCGGTCAATGTGTTAAACCTCGTTGCTCTAGAGTCTAGACCAGTGGTTCGCAAAGTAGGCGGTACCGCCCCCCTGTGGGCGATGGGAAGATCTAGGGAGGCGGTGAGGAAGAAAGGGGCGGTAGGGGGGGCAGTCCAAAGTTGAAGTCAGATTTAGAATGTTTGTTTGACGATTTTTACTCAACACCTGCTGCAATGCACGGCTCCCAGCGATGGGGTTTTCCACACAGATCTGTTTTTTTTAACTTCTGCAGGGTTTCTAGCGTAAATTTTTATAATACTCAAAATTTTGGTTTTTGTGTGTCTCTGGGCGGGGGGCACTACGTGAATATTAATTGGCTGTAGGGGGGCGCTAGGAATTTACTGGAGAGCCAAAGGGACGCCAGCCTTCAAAAGTTTGGGAACCACTGCTCTAGACACTGTCCCGCAGGTCATGAAATTAAACCAAAGATGTATCAAGTTTCGGTAAAATTTCTGTTTCACTAATCAATAATTGGTTCTGTCAAAAAGCATAAGGTTATTCTCTTCCTACTTTTAGCTGAGTTTTATGGTTAATATAAATTTCGGCCTATTCGTGGTGACTGTTACCAGGTGACGATCTGCCGTCGCCCTACTGGTTGGACCCATCAGGTCGACCGTCATCTGTGGCCCCCATCATCTCCCCCTCACAGCTCGCTCCCGTCACCTATCCTTGCAAGTGAGTTAATAATCTTTATGCTTATTAACTGTACAAAAAAAGTATATATACAAGCATAATATCATTAGCAGATACAGATTTATCTCGTATATTTTCGATGTACAGTGAAACTTTCATAGTTCTGGGCCCATACTTTCAAATAAAGTTAAAAGATCGTAAGTTCATCAGCCATTCATTGACGGCCTTTCAAGCAAAATCCACCAATCATAGACAAGAAAATAGAGCGTAAGTACTTACGTTCACTTAGCGAGTTTTGAAAGTATGATTCCAGTTCAATATGATTCCTGCCCAAACAGCAGAAAATGTGCGGGATATTATCTGCGATAATTATAGACCTACTAGAATAATTTCAATCCTTTATTACCTTAGCTATGTCTAAATTTTTTATTTTTTGCTGAAAGAGCCATGCAAGCGTCAAAACTGTTCACTTTCCATTCAGTTTGAACGGCAGCGTCCCTTCTTGCGACGCGTTCGCTCGGTTCCAACGTATTAACGGAAGCTGCAACAACTTGAGCAAACCAAGACAAGGCATGGCAGGGNCACATCTAGATGTGTATAAGAGACAGGGACGACTCCTGCCCAACCCGCGGACGGTGAGCGAGGCCACAAAGAACTCGCATGTCCGGAGCACTCGCAGCGACATCAATTTATTCTTCGTCTTCCTAGGGCAGTTCATCGACCATGATCTCGTCATCACTCCATTTGTTGAGGGTAAAACACATCTGTGTCGTTCGTAAACCAACCACATTTGAAATACTTATGTTTTTTTCGTCCAGGGTGCGATAGAATTTTTTGGTCTTTCCATCATCTTGCACTTTTTTATATCGTTCCCTTAGTTCAAGTAAACCTTCACTTAACAATCTACCGGAGAAAATTATTAGTACAGCATCTCGAGTTACCATATTTTGATGGTATTTTTACCACCGTGAGCTAGCTTCAAAAAGTTGTATTCCTTCACCCCCTACTCACTTTTCGCCACCTACTCACATGCGTGCTTACCTCCCATCTGGAAACCGGACATCTCAGTGTTAGATAATATAATTACATAAAAAATATAACTCAGTACTCACAGCAGTGAGTGACAGAGAGCGCATTTTCTCGTCGACGAAAACTTGAGGTCACGGACGGACAGACAGACAGACGAACGGACATGACGGACATGGCGAGCACAATAGTGCAATTTTTCCATAAATGAGAAAATGCGCTAAAAATGCCTATAATATAATAACCTATTCCCCAAATTTCTACTGACAGATCCCCAAAATCCCGGGAAAAACCTACGTTGTCCAAATTGCAGCTCATGGCTTCAGCACCCAGGCTGCGCGCCTATCAACGTGTCGCCTCACGACAGCTTCTTCAGGGGACCTCGCGCTCCCGCTTGCCTGCCTTTCACGCGGTAACATTACTACATAGTAATTCATTGTGTCTAAACGTTTTGGACTACACGAAATAGCTTGCAGAAGTCTTCGTAACATTAAAATTGTGTTAAGAAATTGGAAAAATTTAATACATTTGTTCAATAAAAGTCATGTGTACGCTTGTATGCAGCTATACCCGAGCTAAACTAAACTAACATAAAACTATGCTAAACTAACCCGAGCTGTTACATCTCTAAATTTAGTGGCCTTATTTTTTTGTACTTCTTAACTGATATTAATTTATAATTGGATTAATCAACTGAGAGTGATCTATTTAATCATTTGTGACCGTGCAGTTCAGCTGGTATACCGGTCGTCGACTCGTCAGGCGTCGAGCGTCTAGAGATCCTCAACCTCAACACTGCTTACCTCGACCTCTCGCCTGTGAGACTCGTGATCCAATTATACGTTCCGCAATATTTTATCTCTCAATCTTTAGAAGAGCCAAGTTGAAAAAATGTAACTCATTCTTCGCCTGCCGCATATCAATATATATTAGCGCTAAAAACAGGGTGGCCCAGGGGTGGTTGGGCAGGGTGGCCCAGTGGTTACAGTTCAGAGTACCAAGATTGGCGCAGAGAGGCGCGGGTTCGATCCCAGCTCTGTGCGCCAGTTTCTGGTCAGAATCGGCAA